CCCCCCCCCCCCCCCAAAAAAAATTTAAGTTTACAAAATTGAAGTGCTTGTTTTAAGCAAGGAAGCTGATTTTTCTACCCAGAATAGAAGCAAGAGGACAGTCTAAATTTTTCTTGTCTCTCTAGGAGCTTCATGGGAGGAGGGATGGAATCCAACAGGGACAGATTCAAGGGGACGGGGTGGGAATGCAGTAGTGCCGTCCCACCTGCTTTAAACCCTGCTCCACCCAAAGTTTAAAACCAGCTGTCTAGGAGCATCAGTAACAGTCAATTCAGGCACTGCTGAGGGAGTCAATTGACTTAATTGCTCATTATAATCTACCTGCACAGATGGACTATATCTCCATGTTTGTTAACTATTTTCTATTTTTTAATGGTCTTAATGTTCCACTAATAACACTGTCCTTTCTGTGGCAGTTTTACTGTCTGTTCGCTACTCCTTGTCTCTCTCCTCTTATTTCACAGTCCTGCAGAGTGGGCTTAGCTCCTTTCAGAATCCTAGGTCTACCCATAGAGTTCAGCCTTTAGCAGAAGCCACAATTTCAGCTTTTGGCTGACTACCAAAGAACTGCTGAAAGTTTAGCTGTGAAAGTTCTAAAACTGTAGCTTTTTTCTGAGCAGGAAAGGGAGAATGAGCAAGCTGAAGATTAGGTTCTGCCCTTGCTTGATGTAGCCATTAGAAAAATATTTTTTCCCTTCTGTTCTATCCTTCCAAACGCAATGCTTTTGTCTTACATGGGGGCATGTAGTATGGAAGAAGATATGGTAACCTTTACAACCTTAGGAAATCATAACTATCTGTGATTTAATTTTGTTTCACATGGTAAAAGCAAATTACATACAATACTTACCTGATTAAATATCAAGATGTAGCAAAGATCAAGAAAATTTGCTTCCTCATTCTTTAATATACAGAACTGGCATGCAGGTAGATATATTATGGTTTCTTCCGCGTTCTTCTGAAGCCTTAGGTTTGGGCCACCAGAAACCGTATATTAGGCTAGCTTTTCTAGTTTTCTGTAAGAGTATTTGTAGGTGAATGCTCTTGTTACTGAAACACTTATGATCTAGCATCAAAGTATTTAATTACAGGAATTCCTGAAGAATCACAAAATGAAGTCACAGGTGCTGAGGAGTTGAAATCTGCAAATGAAATTGCAGCAAGTGCAGAAGCAGGTACATATATGCCTTTTACATGTAATTAATTGAAAAGGAAATGAGAACTTTTTAAATCCTACTCAAACAGAGTATGTTCACTTACGATCTCTTCGGAAGCATGCTGTAACCATTAATATTATGGCTAAGTATGACCCAGCCATTCTCTTAGCTTTATCAGATAAGGATGTACCTGAGCATCCTGGAACCAGCACAGAAGGAGAAAATGGCCCTGATATTGAAAGTACCAGCAAGAACCCAGAGGAAGGACCTTCATGTGAAAAAAGCAAAGAGCAAGAGATTTCAGGTCAACCAAGTACAGAATCCACTGCCAACTCAAATAACACAAACCGTGAACCTCAACTACAGCCAGAATCCTCAGGGCTTGTAACTCAAGAAGAATCATCCACTAGGGGAACTGCTTTCCACGAAACAGATGATAGTGATGATGACCCTGTCTTGATACCTGGTGCAAGGTATCGAGGAGGACCAGGACACAGGTCAGTAGCACTCTTTTCTTTTTGGTCATTACTTAGCATCAGATTCTCTGAGGGAAGAACTAGAAACTGATGCCCCCACACCTAATGCTAGCATTGATCAAAACTTACAGCTCTAGGTGTCTCATTGGCAACTTGCCAGGATCTTGAGATCTGCATCTATTTTGTGTATACATGCTATATCTTTGAAAATAGACAAGCTCACACCGATCTAATAATTGCTTGTGCTTGTACCTTCCTTGCTCAACTACCCAGCATTGTTCTTACCAGAATTATAAGAATGGATTTTCCATAAATGCATTACAGGACACCACAGACTACATTTGCACTGTAGACATCCTTGCTTTAAAAGGGTATTTGCTTTTGGTTGGCAATGCTTTATTTTCCAGTAGCATAAGCTCAGTAAGCTGCCCATTTTCTCCACTAACAATTGATCATGTCTGTTCAAGTTTTCCTTTTGTTTCTTTTTTTTGGTGAGAAGGGAATTTTCTTATCCTTCTTTCCTCATGTTAACATCTGAATATCAGGATTAACAGTGATATGTGTTTATCAGAAAAGTGATAGTATAAGACATAGGTTTTTATGATGTGTTCTGTACAAGTTTTTTTCCTATAGAATATAAGTACTAATTTGGACCAAAAAATGCCATTGTAACTAAGAGGACATCGCAGAAATTAAGTATATATAGTATTGGCAAAGTAACCCTCCTAATTTTTCAGAATAGCTAGTTTATCTCAACTCCTGGACTGTTCAAATCCTAATGTAATTAAGCAAACAATCAACTTCTAGATTCTAGACAATTTATTTTTTAACAAAAAGGAAATTTGGCTTCAGATTAGTATAGTTTCATACATTTTAGACACTTACCTATCACATTCAAATATAGCATTATTTTGCTGTTTATTGTTTACACTAGGAATCTAAATTCTAAACTGAGGCTTATTACATATACTACTTCCTAAGAGATTAACATAACACAAGACTGGATCTAAAGATGGTGTGGCTGCACCCCAGCTATCCACACACACTTTTGGGCTGGATTACATAGTAGGAGCCTGTGGGAGCTTCTTTTAAATCCCCAAAGCATATAAGAATCCCCCCACACCCACCCCTTTCCCTGCATGTTCAATGGCACTGCCATTCCCCACCACCCCTTTCTCTGCCTGCTGGTGCTGCTTTCCGTCATGTCCCCTGGGCAGGGGATGTTTCAGAGCCACTCCTACCTTCTCCAGCCAGTCTGCATGGGGGTTGGGCTCAGCTGGGAACAGCCACAGAAGCAGCAGCAATATATGTTCCCATGAGGTTTTTCTTCCCTGTGCCTGCTCCTGGGGGACTGGGCAAGGTGTGGGGAACCCATTGCTCCTACCCATTGCTGCTGCTGCCACTGTGCTGTTCTCAGCTGAGCCCAGCGCATTTGCAGCCCAGCTGGAGGAAGCAGAAGCACCTCTGAAGCTTCCCCAACCCTGGAGAAGCAGGGGAAGCAGTAGTTGCAGATAGAAGAAGGGGGAATGGGAGGGAAGAGGGAAGGAGCTTGCTTTTAAGCATGGAAGGGGATGGGAGAGATTCTTATTTGCTTTAAACACTTTAGAAAAGGCAGCAGAAGCTCTCCGGGCATAGTCTGCCCACACTGGTGGGTGACGGGGGAGGAGGTGGGGAACAAGAGGTGCAGCCAGTTATGTAGCACTGGTGACTACTACTACAGCCCTCTTTGAGAAATCCTGTATCTGCCCCTGACCTGACAACAACTTAAGAGTTCTCTTCCTGTTTTTCCCCTTACTGGCTCTTGGAATATATTTAATTCTTGGTAGGTAGTATTTTGTTTCACCCTGTATTTCAAATAGTTGTGTCCTACAAAGTAAGAGCTTTCCAAGGGACTAGATGATTGAGAGACTTGCTAAACTAGGATGGGATATCTTCACCTTGACAGTATGTCTATCTTCACCCCTGTGCCCTTTGGTTAAATCATAAATGTACTGTTGAAAGTGCTATATAATGCTAAGTGTCATAAAAAAAACCTATGCAACCTATCCCCCTAAAAAAAATCATGTCTTAAGTGTTCCCAGCTGGCTTTCTGATTAGTGGATACATTTGACTTGTATCTCTCTGTGCATCAGTTATTCTTTTGTGTTTTGAGAATAATTCCCCTTCTTATTTTACAGGGGTATTGTGAAAACTTTAATATTTATGAAGTACTCCTATAATGATGAGCATCATAGAAAGCCTAATGGGGAAATTAATAATTATGTATTCAGAGCAAGGTTAGATTGCTGTATACTAAGACACGAAACAATGCACTTATAGCAAAGAGAAGGCAAAATTGTCAGAAATTACTTAAATAAGCACTAACCTTTCTTCTGAGTGAGGCAGGGGTTCTATGGAAAAAAGTACTATACGATTATACCACATAACTTGTTTTATTCCATATATTAAATTACTCTTAATTTTGAGACTGAGATTTAGTAGATCACCCATGAATCAAAACCTCTCAAATTCTGACCCCTTCGCTCATATTGATTTTCTTTTTTGGAGATTTTGGGCAAGATATCTAGCAACTCTTACTTAATATCATCCCCTATAAAGTAAGTTGTATCCTTATTGACTATATGTGTTATTTGAAAATGTTTGTAATAGGGTAATTCATGTGAAAAATGTATCAATATCAGGCACAACCTGTTTATGATGGTGTCCTCTTATAGAGCCCATCCACATCTAGATAGATATTACACTTAATAGATAGATGCTGCACAGAGGTACTTTCTGGTATTCTCTTTGACTTGCAAACCATGACATGAGTTACCAGCCCACTGAGCCTAACGCCTCTGCAGAGAGCCGTCTTACCTCTATTCAAGGGCCAAATATCTGTGTCCAGTCCACATAGGCAAGCAGCACATGTGTCTTGGGAACAGGTGGGTTTGAGAGGTTATCTGCAGCTAAGAAGAGCAATCTTAGGAGGAAGATTGGGAGGGAAAAAAAAGTCAGTTGGGGATACTCATGACCTTGTCAATGGAGTAGGGTTTGGGAGGATTTCCACAGATAAAGGAAATGTAGGTGTAGTAGCTTTTCAGACTGAGATATAAATTACGTGGGCTGTATAACTGAGAGGTTGTTCCCATATTCAGAGTATCCCAGCCTGTGAAAGAAGACAAAATTTATTGACGGTAAATTGACGGTATTCTACTTTATCTGAATGAAATACAACCCCCCATTTAGTAAGTTAAAGAAATCTTAGGGACCTTTAACATCGTATAGCACTAACATGAACATATGTATATCAGTTACAAGTGAGGCTCATCTTCTCAAATTTTGTAAGTTATTATCTTAATCCCCTGAGGAGGTACAAATCTCACTTGGTTTAATTCAACATTATAGTACAGTATAGGACTTGTGTTCTATATATTTCATCAAGATTTTCAAAGGTAACTCAACTTGCTAGCTAGGTCAGCTTGATATACTTATCTAGTTCACTTAGTGATGGGTTTTGTTACAAGTATTCTCATTATACTTATATAAAGGTTAAAAGTAGAAGCAAACTTCAAAGACAGATACTCAGTTCTCTACATCATGGAAAAAGGCTGCTAATCAGCATGTTGAGACTCCATAAACAGAAAACAAAAGAAGGTGTTAACTTCTCCAGCTGAAAGTTCTGTTGCTGGACATCTGTAATTCATTAGGGTTGGACTGCAAACAAGCGGCCCCACATAGAACAGTGACACGCATTGCCCTCTCTTATTCTTTTCAATCTAACTTATTAAATAACTCCTTTGATGGAGAGAAATGTTTATTATAGTGGCAATTCTGCAAAAACACAGTGAGGTATGTTGACATGGTGCTAAAAATCCCATTGTTTTTTTTTTTCAAATGGTTTATTCTCTTAGGATTTTTTATAGGATAAAAAGACTTTTAATAGGATGCTATAAGCTATTGATCATTTAAGACCTTATCTAGTTAAAATCTGAACAATTCAGACTAATATTTTTAATCTCTAGATTTCTGTATATTCTTACAAATTAGGCACTTTCAAATTCTGGAGAAATTCTACAGTTGGAGGAAATGAGCTAGAAATCTTAATCACATAGGGTGCATCTACATGTGTACTTTACTGTGCAGTAGACTAATTAGCTCCACAGTAAAGCACCAGAGTCTACATGTGTGCTGGAATAACAGCACTGTAAACTAATTAACTCTGCCATATAGTACTGTTGAGGACAGTACTATCTTATGGCAAGGTACTTCAGTGTACTTGGGGCTTGCTTCTCCCCAGTTCAAATAGCTGCTGTCCCAGGCGTACATGTAGATGCTGTGATTTTGAGCCGTAGAATCTAGCTCAAACTACTCCAGAGTTTATTGCATCACTTTAATTTCATGTGTAGGTGCACCCACAGACCACGTCCAGATGAGCACAGCCATGCAGCATCACAGACTCGCTTGCAGCACCACATACCGTACATTCAGGCATTCCCTGCACTGCCACCTTTCAGAGTGGGGTTTGTTCCCAGGGTCAAAAAAAAACTGCCCAGAAAAAAACATGGGGTGGTGCATATGATGGCAGTGTGTGCCGCCCAAAACTGGAGTTTGGCTGGCCGGAGCCATGCTCCAGCTACTGGCCAGACTCCCGGTGGCAGGAGCACCATGACTACAGCTTTCCTGACCCTCAGGACCCCAGTTAAGGCTGTCGGGGCCAGCATAGTTGCTGGCCTCAGGCTCCTGTGCCTACTCAGAGTAACCTGCTGTGTGCCAGAGCGCACATGGCACAGACATTCCCCGGGGACAAGTAGCAGTGGCACAGTGACCTAAACCAGTGGTGCTTAACCTCCAGTCTGTGGGACCATGTCATCCAGTCCATGAGAAGCCCTGAAAGCCAGATGATATCTGGCCAGGCTGGTGTGCAAGGCTGTACGAACAACCAGCAGACTGATCCGCGGACAAGCTCCATTCCGCTCTTACAGCCCATGAGCCCAGGAGGTTGAGCACTACTGACAAGAAACAAATCAATTTCTGTTTGTAATGTCAACTTTTTCATAGTGGGATGCTTAAAAATATGAGCTCAATATTCTGTATGCTGGAGTCAGAATCTTAAATTTAATCCATGGCAGAACCATTTGAATGCCCCCTTTTAAGTTCTGTTTGTAATACAAGGCTGATTAAGAACTTCATACAGAATACACTTTATCTGCCTTCAGTGTTGAATAAAATGAATCTGGATGTAGGCTTCAGATGTTCTAAATGTGATTGAGTGCACCTGCACTAATTTTAGATGCAAATCCAACTTTTAATGTGTTCTAAACTGGGAATTAGCTCTCTCCAACCACCTTTTTGTTCATTCTAGGAAATGATCATGGGACAAATTCTCCTTAGTGGTTGTTTAAGTACGGAACACAGGACCAAAAAAATCTCATCTGAAATCTGCCTGAAATGTAATTTTACTTTATAATCTCTTCAGAAGGAATTATTTTCTGTGCACGTTGGGGAATCCTTGGGAGACAACTATTACAAATGTTAGGACCACTAGTACTTTTTAATTTAAAATATTGTCACAGTGGATATTCATGCATTTTTGTCAAAGCCTGGCAAAGTTAGCCATGCAGGCAGGAGGCAGTGTGGCCTTAGTTACTCAGTCTGGTCAAAAAACAGTATAAAAATGTAATTTGTGTGCACACAGTACAATTTGACTAATCATAACTCAATAGGATCAAAATAAACTTTCACCTGAATAGTGAGAAGAATTTCTCTGTGAGGGTTGTTGTCATACCCAAATAACTGAATTGGTTTTGTTCAAACTTTCTGATAGAAATTCATGCTTATAGGTGAAAGCCAGCCATGGAGCTTGGAAACTTTCAGTTCAGTAGGTAAAAATATCGAAGATGTAAGAGAATTTGAAATCAAAGTGTTTTACAGGAGCTGCTGCCACTCCCACAGCAATACAGTTGATGAGTAATTCACGCATTTTTATAAAATTAACTTTGTGTATCAATAAAAATATGCAAACTAATTTCTTGGTTGAAATCAAAATGGTCTCATCTTGATTTGTCTTAAGAAGGTGGGATCTTTTCAAAATAATTTAAGTTCATTCTGTATTAGGTACTGACCTTTTAAAAACTTGCTACCCAGAATTTTTGAATGACTTCAGCTATTGTTCCCTTCACTAGATTTAATATCAGAGGAACAGCGATAGGTGATAGAATAATGAGGTAATTCAACATCTTCCTTCCCTCTGTCCCCCTTTTTCCTTCTGTATGATGAATTTACAAGGCCCTTTTTTCCACATCTAACAAGTTTTTCCGTTGGCTCTTACATATTTTAAATTTACTAAACTTCAAATGCCAGAAATTAGAGTGCAGGTTGCTTGATTTATTTAGCTGCACGTACTGCATGAAATTGAGAAAATATTGCCGTGTACAAGTTTAACAGCATATTAATCTTATTGATGTGTGCCACAAAAATAAGCATAATGTAAAAAAAAAAGTGTGTATTTTACATGGAGCAAAATACAGTTTGTTCTTCAGTTGTTGAAGCACATTATGTTTTGCATGTCACTTGATATGGCGTGACTGGCATTAAGGAACTCCAGTTCTGAAGCAAAATGTAGGAATACAGTATCCAAAGTTCTGTTTTGCTTTTGCCTGAATCAGTTTATGAAATTAAACCTATTTTTTAAAGCCAGGATTGATAGTACACATTTAGGAAGGAAAATGCTGGATTTAAAGGATTATTTTTTCTCATAGTACCGAGAAATGCAAATAGAATAGTTGAAAAGGAATAATACTAAATGCCTCACTGAAACACTGGAGTGCATTAATTTTAGGAACATTTGAGAGTTTTGGACAACAGATTTGACAATATGTCTAACCTGGAAGAAAATGCAATATGTGACTTAATGCCAGATACTATAACTGGAAGTTAACATATTGTGAGGGGGAAGATCTGAAATGAAAAATATGCTTTATAGTATCAAGAGTGACCAAGTGCAGGATGCCTATCTGATGATGTTGATCTATGTGACCACCCCATAAAGGATATCCATCTACCTTTTTCATAAAATTCTATGAATACGATTATACAGAATGCTTATGTGAGTTGTGAAATAAGAATGTCTGAAGGAAAGTAAGAGTCGCTGCTCTTCTTGTCTTTGTTTTCAGGTGGGACTCTTGCCAAGTTGAGTAAGATCTGTACTCAAGGGTCTTCATGGTCTGTAATGTGCTGGCTCCAAGTTTGTGTTGTTTTGGATTTCTGTAGCCCTCTGGTGCAGTAGATCAGAAGATCTATGTTAGTTGAAAGGAAACTTTCAGAATTAAATGTAAAAATGAATATGTTCCATATGGAATTTTTGCAGTGCTTGCTTTTATTTTTTCTTCTAACATCTATTCTTCAATGTGTTGGAATTTTCTGTTATCAAAAGGGAAGAGTGAGAGTGTTCTGCAGCTGAATAGGGCACACCTGGAAAGGAAATGGAGATGGTTTGGACTTATGCAGTAACCACATTATCCGGATGCTCTGCTGAAACGATCAGTTATGAAATGGTTCATGTTTGAGAGCAAGGACTTTTTGTGCTACCTTTTATTAGACCAGCCCTGTCTTTGGGAGTGCTACTGGACAGGCTTTCAGGCATTCTGAAATCAGGGCTTTATCGCAGCATGGGAATGTGGTCAAAACACACGTGAGTCTCATCTACACTGCAAGACCATAACTATGTTCTATCAGTTTATGCAAACAGAACCTTGCCGGGTTACTTGCAAATCCAGGCAAGACCACTATTTTTGATTGCATTTAGATTTTCTGTAAAATCTTACTGGCTAGAAACCTCCTTATAAATAATAGTCTGTGGTATGTGTGATGTTTCAGTATTACTAGGACAAGCACCATGAGTTGATGTCAAAATATAAATTTACTGGAGTTGCCAAAACAGTATTGGAATAGTGTACCTATAACAGATACAGGGCTCAGTGAGGGTATGCAATTTTAAAAACATATGTTGGGGTACTTGGGTCATAGCGGCTACGGGTGGGTGGGGACGGAGTGTGCCCCAGGGTGCGGCAGTGGTGTCTCCCTCGGCATGTTTGCCTCTTACCTGGGGGATGGGAGAGAGGCATGCACGAGGTGCCGCTGGGCCCACACAGCACATTGCGGTGCCACCCCACCCTCCCATCCCAGCTCGCTCTCCTGATTGGCCACCAAGCCATCACCCTCACCCAATAGCCAGTGGCCCTCCCATCCCAGCTCGCTCTCCTGATTGGCCACCAAGCCATCACCCTCACCCAATAGCAGCAGCTGCTGTGTGCAAACTCTTCCCCATTCCACCCCCCCTCCCCCAGTGCAGCTGCTGCTTGTACCTGGGGAGAGCATGGGGAGTGGGCGCCCCCAGATCTGCACATGAGCTGTGGTCAGGGCTGCTCCAGGCTGTTCCCAGTGAGGGGGCTGGGCCGTGCTTCACTCGGGGCAAGTGTTGGCAGTGCTGGGTGGGGAGTTGGAGGGGTTATAGAGAATTCTGGAGTGGCAGAAGCTGCTCCCATAGCCCACCTGCCAGCGCCGCACAGTCTGGACCCAGCCCACCCCACGTGCAGATCCAGGGGCATGCACCCCCCTATGCCCTCCCGGGATGCACATGGATCAGTCCTGGGCTCCACTGCGTGGTACAGTTCCTGCCTCTGCCCCACTCCCTTCCTCACCGTGGGGGCCTATGGGAGCAGGCCTATGGTGGGGGGGGGGTGCGGTCTGCAGCCACTCCAAAACTTGCCATAGCCCCGCCCCCCTCCCAACCTCTCTCCCAGTGCTGTCACCTCCTGCCCCAAGTACAGCTTGGCACAGGCCCTGCTGGGAAGAGCCTAGTGCAGCCCCAGGCTCAGCCCTTCCCATGCAGACCTGGGAGCACCCCCTGCCCCCATGCCTTCCTGGGGTTGCACATAGTGGTGGGAGCCGCCCCCCCCTCCCACCACGTGGCTCCATCCCATGTCCCACCCCAGCTGGACAGCCACTGCCCCAGCCCCACTACCTCCCCAACCACTGGGGCGGCCAAGCCTGCCCCACCCCAGGCGCATATGCACGGCACATGCCCCCATGGCCTCCTGAGGTGCGCACAGTGGCAGGAGCTGCCCCTGCCAATGAGCTGCTGGTAGCTCCGTCCCACGCCCCACCCCACCCCGGCTGTGCAGTGCCTGCCTCAGCTCCACTTCCTCCCACATCGCAGGGGCCTCAATCTGCTGCCACCTCCCCCCCCAAACAAGAACAAAATATATGGGGGTGCAGGAGCTGAACCTTTGAGTCAGAAGGATACACCTATTAAAAAAGGTTAAAATCCCCTGACATTGGTAGAAGAACTAGGCTTCTTCCCAGGTCAAGTTTCTAACCCCTTGAAAAGATAAAGATTTCAGAACTAGTTGGGGGTATTATATAGCCACAGCAAACATCTGGTCCAGTATTGTATTTGTGTCTCAGCTGATCAGAGAAACACTGCCCTTTGATAAAAAGCTGTAGCAAATAGCTCAGCAGCTCATTCTTAATTTGGCAACCTGCTGCCATCTACATGGGTTTCAAACCACCCTGATTTGAAACATGCTGATTCCACTCTACAAGCTTGGGAAAGTTGGGAACGCTTTGTTTCTAGCACTTTGCACAGCATGTTAGTTTCCTTACTGACGTGTGTGTTGTCATAAACCAGATGATTAGAGCACTATCTAATAACACTTTTTTATTTACAGTAATTAGACAAGAATTATATGAAAGCCTGTGCATCTAAAACTAAAAGGTGCAAAAGGCTAGAACAGAAATTGTTCTTCCAAGATAGATGTGTGCCTTTAAATTTAAAATATTTTCTACACAAAGAACAGAAGAGGGAAGGATCTTGCCTAAAAAAGTGTATTCTGTTGCTGGGTCTGAAGGGTCATTATGTTAGTTCTTTCTGCTCTTTTTGGCGAGGTTTTTCCTTAATTGGGGTCCTGCCACCAACAGCAGGACTTAACTCCCAATGCCTGATAACTTGAACCAAGGACTGTTTAGATACAGTCTCACCATGAGATGTGATCTTGTCTTTCCCATAAGTCCCCATCTCAGAAGTTGCTGAATCAAAGTCTATTAGTACCGTTTTAATCATGGCTAAAATTTTAGCTTTCAGCAGAGCTGAATACAAGACAGTGGTGTTTGAAAAGCAAAGTGAGTACTTTGTTTGCATCTTCCTTTTTTATAAATTCAGTGCAGTGCAGTGTACTCTGTAGTCTTAGAGTTTGGTTGGTTGAGTTTTGTTTGGTTTTTTTTTTTTTAAATGGCTGCATATAACCTCAGAGGGAGGAAATCAGAAAAGCCTGGCCAGAGCCATGAAAAACATGCATCATGGTGGCTGTATCTGGAAGAAGTAGATGTTTCCTGCCATGAGGCATTGGTAATTTTTGTACCTGTGACAGTCTTTTGGCATAGACGGATGAAAAAGTGGCATCAATATCAAATTAAATTGATTTAAGCTCTTTGATGTAACTGTTCCATCTGCTGTAATTGTTTTGCCTGGATGGTCCTGTAGTATTTCAAGTGTAACAAAACTGCCAGCTTTTAGAGTTAACATTTTAGGGAATTAGCAAATTTGTATCACTGTAGGAGCATGCACACTGAAAGGTTGGTTACCTCTTGACAGCTGGTGCCCACTCCACAGTGGCAGCTCTCTCCCCCATTTAAAGCCGTTAAATTTTATGGATTTTTTCCACATCTGGATGCGCCCATAGAGGATAAGTGCAAATGTGCAGTATATGGCGCTGCAGACTGCACACAGACTGCTGCCGTGTGCAGCGTTGCACACGCCACAGATGCAGGCATTCCCCACACTGATTTGCAGTGTGATGAGGGTTTTGTCACAGGGAGATCCCGGTGTAGAAAAACCCACACCTTAAAATAGTGGGCCAGCACATGTGGCGACAGTGTGCGTTGCTGGAAACTGGAGCCTGGCTGGCCAGAGCCACACACCAGCTGCTGACTAGTCTCTGTGCTGCCAGGTTGCTGTGGCTGCAGCCCCTGGAGGCCCTCAGGACCCCAGGTAATGCTGCTGGGGCCGTTTCCCAGGGACAAGCAGCAGGTATTGTCACTGCTCTTTGTTCCCAGGGAAACGCATGATCCTGCTCGTGGGGATGCATCATATGTGTCCATGGGCTAGTAAAGTAGTTTAGCAAGAGTCTAGGATGTAATTAAGTATTACTTAGCAGATTTGTACAAATTAATGCCTTGGCTTTTTTACTAGTGTTAACATTAATTCATTACCTGATTAAAAATAATAGTCCTAAGCTTATCCCCCCTGCTCAGTGTTTTGTTTTGTTGTTGGGTGTGTTTTGTGGGTTTTTTTGGCGGGGGGTAGGGAGGGTTGTTCTGTTTTGGTTTTTTTAAGTTTAGTTAGTTCATGTCTACAGGGATATATATATACTAGCATGTTTTGGAACCAAATATAGAAATGTGAGTTGAAAGGTAGTAGGTATACTCTGGAAAAGAAGAGGCCTGATTTTGTTGAATGGGCTTATATTTTGTTTTTAAAACTTAATCGCTTTTAGCCTGGTTGATAATGGAATAGCTAGTGAACTGAGGATTTCTGTCATATGCTTATCATTAATTTCTCTGTAAAAGAAAAGATGATATATAAAATGCATGCATTAAAGGATGATACAAATGTCCATGTGGGTGTAATCACAGCTGGAGTACATGGCTTCACTTAAGGTTCCATAAATATTTTGCATAAGTGGACAGCACACAACCCTCCTTTAACTTTCTCTTTCCTTGCAAAGGCAACTGAATGAACATAATATTGTTGCAGCCTTTAATGCACAGTAGATAAGGGCAAACCCTGTTTGTTTCTTCATGTTATCCATAATGTCTTGGGGTAGTCATAATGTTAGTAAATTTAAGTATCAAAGACTAAACATCAAAGAGAAAGTAGAATAGCTCAATGTATTACAAGAAAGGGCAAGTAAAATTGAATTTAAATGGGAAAACTTAGCCTGACTTGTAGTTTGACTCTTCAAGGAAATCACTGGCTGCAGTAATGTCTCCCAAAGCAAGCAGTAAAAGTTTACCACGATTCCTGCCACAGCTACTTCAGTCCCTTACAGTTTAATACTTAATTTGTATCCTCCAGTGACTTGTCTCACTCTGGTTCCACCTAGACCTTCAAGCATCATGGCATCAGTCCTGAAAAAGAAAAGGGGTGAAAGAGCAAATCATAGAAGTAAAGATAGCCAAAGCTAGAGTCGGTACGAAGTTTTAAACCTGGGGCCACAGTATGGGAGCAGGAGTCAGATGTGAAAAACTCTGAAATTCTTATTGCATCACTAAAAATATAACTTCTTGAGATCAAGTAGCCATCCAGTAGAGTTTTTCAGCATGTTGCTTTACATCATCTTTTTGTTCGTAAAATCTTTTTTTGCTATAGGTCTGTCTGCATTAGGGAGTATTCTCCCACTGTCTTTCAAGGCCCCTAGACCCAGCTTTTTTCTCTGGTCAAATAAGTGCTGTTAAGTTTTCCTAATGTTCAGTCTTGCCATAGAAGAAACACTAACAAGAAACTATCAGAAGAAAGATCTTCCTAAAGCAGGGGATAATAAGAAAGTATGAGACATTTAAAATTTGATCTAATACAAAGAAAAAATTAAAGGTGGCAGCAGATCTGTTTATATTTATTGTTCTAAATAGAAAAATGTACTATTTTGCCTGTATCCACCTTTTTACACTTTTGCAAGCTCAGAGTGGATAGGGGTTCTATTTAGAAAATATTTTATCTGAGTGTGATATTATACATGATTTTTGCTTGCATCCTAGAGTTTGTACCTTTAAAAAGTATGAAAAAATAACATGACTGCTACATGCCACTGTCTTGCATGTTATTCCTGTTCTAAACCAAAATGGAAAAACTCTCAAATATGTCACTTAAACAGTTGCTGTGGCATTAGTGCCTTTGCCAGACTCAGAAGTGAGTGAGTTTGAGTGGCCTGACTAAGCTGTTTTGTCTCCCTTTAAAAAGCACTGGTTCATTGTTTAGAAAAGGTCTGTCTGTGAAGCTTCTGGTCTTGTGTAATGGTCTTTCAGTAGTGTTTTCTTTGTATGTAATTCATAGACGATCTGCTGTTGCCCGCATTCAGGAACTGTTCAGAAGGAGAAAAGAAAGGAAAGAAATGGAAGAACTGGAAACACTGAATATTAGACGTCCTTTAATAAAGATGGTGTATAAGGGTCATCGGAACTCCCGGACAATGGTACAGAATACTTGCTTATTTTAAGAGTTCATCTTTTTTACTTGAAATAATGTAGTTGTTCTTTCTAAAAGGGGATGTTGTGTTTCAGTTAAAGAATGTTAGTTGCATGTTAGATCTGTAACTATGTAACTGGATATACATCACTCATGGGCCCCCATGAGTAATCTAAAGCCACATGGTGGGGAGACACTAACTTTCTCTGCAAGTTGGGACAGCCGTTTAGTTGCTCTCAGGTGGCCCATCTGCATGATGACACATTGTGTACTTCAAAAAGAAATATAAAACTTAAGTCATGATCTTAATGAATAATGATTAGTTCTTCATCTAACCCCTTGACCACCTCATCTTTATATATAACACACAGGCTGCTTACAGACATAATCCATGCCCCCCCCCCCCAAAAAAAAAAACAAACCCAACCAAACAGCACATTCATCTAATAGCTGATTAACTCAGCTTTAGATAAAAGTGCCAAAAAGCCCTACTGAATCACCTGATCTACACAGATGCTGTGGAGCTGGTTTGAATGAAAGTGCCAAAAAAAACAACAGACCAACCCACTAAAGCATCTGATCTATACAGAAATTGGGTGAGCTGGGTCCAACTAACATGATGCCTCTTTTAGGCATGCACTGGCTTTGGCACGGGAGTGTGCTGAGTTTAAAGTAAAGTGCTGTTTGGGGTTTTTTTTAAATGTCTGTAAGCAGACAAAGTGCTTTACAAAAAGCTCTGTCTATACTCACCGTGCTGCCTTTTTAATACGCATTTTTTTTAAGTATCCTTAGGCCCCTACTGTAGATTACAGATTACATTTGTGCTGCAATTAACATGTTAATCACAGCATAAATAAGAAAGGTACTATATGTGCACCTGATTTAAATTGCCATATAATGGGAAACAAGCCATAGAAATGTTTGACAGATACCATAGAACATTTTTATGGCTCATTTATATGTCACCTTAAATTTAACCTGTGGCTGGTGACTGAAAATCAGCTGATTAAAGTCCCCAGTAGGAGAAACCAACGACTTAGCTCCTGGCAGGGCAAGTAAAGTTTTCCCTCTGCTGGGGACTTTAAACCCTGCACTGAGCAGCTCTTGTCAACTGGGTGTGGGGCCATACCAGCATCTGGAACTGACTCCAGTGCAGAACCTGATTGTCAGGTGCGTGGCTTTCAATTTGCTGGTGCAGGGGGAGTCCAGGATCATAATAATAATTCTGGACTTCCCCTGCACTGACAAGTAGGGCACAATTGGGATCTGATCCCAGAATCGGATATCAGTCATGCCCATGTGGCATGGCAGGAAGCATGACTGTTCATATCCTATCATGCCTTTAAAAGTCTTGTGGCCATAGTTATGTGTAGTTGGAAAACCATTGTTTTTATCACCAGCAAAAACTTTTGAAGGGTAAGCTGTCCAAATGCAAGCTTGTTATTGTAGTCATATTTTTTAAAATATTATCTGCTTCCTTCAGGTTCGTAATTCAGGCAGCCTGTTGTTTACTGAAGAAATTTAAAAAATACAAATTCATTAGTTCTAAAAACAAGTTATTTTTTTCCTTTTTCTAAGATAGTAGTAGTAACTCTCAGTGGGTGGTTATGGCTGATATGTATGCGCCTGTTTTTTTGTATTATTATTGAAAGATTTACTAAATCTTTTTTTATTATTATTATTAATTCCAGAACTTTTTCTAAAATGTATCTTTTGGGGTCCCAAAGTATCATGAGAATTATTGGACTTTGTAAGACTAGAGTGATGAACAAAGCTCTCACACTTTTTTTTCTTTATTAATAGCCTTTTTCCTGTTTTACTTAATGGTTTTGGTGTTTTGAAAATAGAGTGCTAAGTAGTATTTGCTATTTTTGGGAAGTTATAGTCAAGCTATTTTGGAGGTAGCTGAGGAGGGATGATTCATCCAGTGCAGTGGTCCTCAACCTTTTGAGACTCAAGGCACCCATCACTGCACTCAAGGCACCCCTTCACAACTTTTTGAAATTGGGTGCCATTCAGTTCACAAAACTAATTTTAAATATTACAGGCCCCCTCTACATATAACCAGTATTGCACAATTAACTAGTTACCTGGAAACCAGCTGTACATGCAAAGTAGCTATCACACAATTAAAAGCTCCAACCAGCTATAAAGTTAGACCTAAAAAATGTGTACTAACTTTATAACTGGTTGCTATCGAGCTTTAATTTGCATATGTAGCAGGGTTTGTCCTTGTAGCTGGGAGCCCTGTCAGTTGACAGGGCTCACGATTACAGGGGTGCACCACCCCTGGCGTAAAACCTCTGGACCCTGGGGATCTCAGCTACCATGATGTCTAGTGCTTGGGGATGCAGGAACCCTCTAGGGCCAGAGGATCACTGCAGGGTTGATTCCGCCCTGCCCTGGGGGTGCTGGGAAACCCCTGGGGCCAGGAGATGGTGGTGATCTCTGGCCCCAGGTGCTTTCCTCCACCCCCAGGGTGAGGGGATCCCTGTGTGGTAATCCTCTGTCCTTGGGGGTTTCCCACACCCGCAGGATGGGGGGAGTGCCACAGCAGCAATTCTCCAAGCCTGGAAGTGCATGGGGCTCCTGCACACAGGAGCTTGCTTTTTGTTGGCATGGCTGGAGATGTGATTGTGTTAATTGTATGTCAGATCCCATTGCACCTTTACCTTCACCTGCAGAGGGGGCCACAGTGCTTATATCCTTGCAGAGGGATTGGACAGTGCAGGGGAAGGAATTGGCCATTAAATAAGCCTGATCTACACATACCTACTCATCTCACACCTCACTTATCTCCTTACACCGAGTGGCGCCCCGGTTGAGACTCATCGATCCAATTTCTCAGAGCACATTCCAGAATTTGCCTAAGTAGCTTCAAAAACTGCTGGGATGAAGTTTGCCTTCCTAAATGCATATTCCACTTTACATAGATATTAGTAGGAACTGGGTGACCATATCAGAGGATATAGAAGGGGCAGAATTAGATTTAATGGTGTCAAGTTTGGATTTTTTTTTTAAATTTCAGAAATGAATAACAATGTACACAACTGCCTTACATTGTTACTAACATTGTAAAGTCAAGCACTCAGTGGCAGGGTGGATTTGATTTAAACCAAATCTATTTAAATCATTATTTAAATCACAATTTAAATCACTGGTCAGGAAGCCCCAATTTAATCATTCTTTTCTACAAAAAGTGCATTCTTGTTTGATATAACCTTAATACATATTAGTCACAACTCGGATGGATGTAAGTCTCAGTATTAGAAGGTGCACACTATACATTTTACAGCAGTGATTTATTATGGTATTTTTTCAGATTAATTTTGCAGCTACATCAGAAAACTGAAGTATGACATTTAAATTGTTTTATTTAGCTAAAACAACAAGCTTATGTATTTGAATCCCCTCTCAGTCTTCTCACCAGTTCACTGGTATGACTTTCTTTAAAACCCCATCAGTTTCTTCCAAATTTCAACAGCATCAGCAATAAAACAGTGATTTCCCAGCACTTTGTTCAAGGCTACAGCAGTAGGCTTCAGCATACGTTTTATATTTTTCTTTAGCCCAACATTGAGAACTTTGGCATGACAGTTCCATTTATTTTGTCACAGTGTTGTTCACAAATTGTCATCAGATGAGGCTAGTTCTCGATATATTGCTACTGGGTTCCATTGCATGTCTTATGGGAGAGTTAGTTTGCTTTCTCCTGCTTTCTTCAGAGAAGCTGCTGCAAAGTGGTTGTTATGGAAGTATTTTACAATTTCAGCAACATCAACCTTCTGGAGCACTGAAGTCTTTGGCTAAGAGGTGCATCAAATGAGCACTGCAGCCATGACATTAGCTTGGGGTTTTTTCACTTTCTTATAGATTTTCTTCTCATCTTTGATACATATGCAGCATTATCTGTGACAGCTTCATACTAGACACTTGAGGGTTTTTTCACAGTTTGTTATAGCTTTTACTGCTACCTCTTGTAAGGATTCTGCTTTATGTGCATTTCCTGATGTATCAATTGCTTCTGTAAGGTAGACAGTCGCTTCTGTTGTTACACAAGTACATATTACTGGATCGTTGTGGACATTGCTCCACCCATCAAGACTCAGGCTAACAATTTTCCCCTCTAGACTTTTTGCACAAACTTCAGTTCCTTCTCATACAATTTATTCAACAGTATTGTCTCAGATAGTATATAATTAGAAGTTATAATCCCTATTCCATGATGATATCTCTGAGTTTTAACATATTTTAAATTAAAACTATCTTTTTATAGGTTTACTTTTTTAAAGAAAGCATCTTAACAAAAATTAAAAATATGATTAAATAAAAAATCTGATTTAAATAAAAAATGATTTCTTAATTTAAAAAAATCATTGATTTTTTATCCACCCTGCTCAGCAGTTAAGAAATGCCACAAATAAGCTTGCTTGTGCAAACTTAATCCAGCCCAAATCTGCACATGTGTTACAATATAGTCTTGAATTACATGTTCACTACCCACACAAGACCCTGGCTCATTAGTTGCATGAGATGAACAGGGCTCGATTTAATAAGCTCCTGTTCATTATTTTGTTTTGTCTGCGTTTTTTGTGTGATGGTAGGTCTTATTTACAATATTCTGTTTAAACCATACAGTTATTGACTTCTTCATGGACTTTTGTATGTGGTTTATTACTATTTCAGAAAACATTAATTAAATTTATTGTTAACCCCACACCCATGTAAAAGAGGTGGTAGTATTAGCCCCATTTTAAAGCTGAAGAAGTAAGAGAGAAATTATGGTAATATTTTGTTGTTCAATTTTAGATGCTTAAGACTTTATTTTCAAGGGTACTTAGCACAGTCCAGCACTTGATGTACTCAAGCACAGTTCCCATTAACATCAGTTTTATATGGAAGCTCAGCCTTTTTGCACATCATGCCACAGAATCCTCAGGTTAGGCACCCAAAAGATGGTACCCATCTGTGGAAAGATTAGTTTAAGTGACTTGTCTAGCATTACAC